AACAGGATCCAAACACAGGAGTGAGGGAGGGCTTAGCTCTCCTAAGCAGAACATTCCTCAAAGAAATATGTGAAAGGAATATGTGAACCTTGTCCAGGGCTACAGAAACAAAAATTTCCAGTCTGAGATCTTGTCAGCAGCAAATCCGTGCACCTGGGAGTGCTCTTGCTACTGTTAATGAGAATCCTGGACTCTCATTGCTCTAGCTGTGGCCCTGCCAGGCCTGGCTCTGAAGTTCTTTCCCCAGGCATGAACACTCAGTCTCACTGTCAAGCTGAAGACAGAAGTACGTGGAGCAGCTCTACATCAGGGAGAGCCTGTGGGACCACGGCTGCAGAGGTCAGGGGACCTCCTGGGTGCCCCTTGCACAGGAGCTGCTGCCCACCTCAGGCAGGGGGTGGCTGCAGAGCCTGATGGACCATGCCATGGGCACCCCCAGGAGCAGGATCTATGCCTGGCAGGAGCCAGCTTTGGTCGAACAACACCATGGCCACAGCCAGCCTGTTCTCTAGCCTTCCCAAACTTTGAGTAAATAATTTTACAACGTTACTCTTGCTTTTAATATGTTTAGCAGCTATATTGCAGGAATGCCTAGAGGCTGTGACTAGATTTAGTCCTGTTGTGCTAGATTCCGTGCAGAGATAGTAAGTGGAGCAGGTAGAGGCATAAAGTTAAGACTGCATAGCAGTTTCCATTAGGAAGACCTGCTTTCATTTCCCAGCCTGTCATTACGATTTAACTATTGCAGTTGTGGTTGCTCTGTGTGTTACTCAGAACTTTACCCATTACAGATACAGCAAAAATTAATTGGCCTGTATTTGGCCAACAGCTAGTGCATCAGGAACGCACTCCAGAGTCTCCATCTCAGAGAGGAGAGCTGGCCTGGGTGGTTTTTTTCCTGCCCAGTAGCACGGGAACAAATTTTCCTTAATTAAGAGCCTCTGAGGATCCCACTTTGCAGGTTCTGAGCAAGGACATTTTTAAAGGCTGATGGTTTTCTCCCAGGGTCCTCTGTGCTGATCAGACAGGTCCTGCATCACCTTCAGTGCAGGCACTGTCCCACGTGCCAAGTGTTGAGCAGGACACTTTCCAGGCTTTCCGACTGACTCCAGAAAAGCAGGCAAACGGACCTGTCCATGTTCACATGTCTGCAGCAAGGAATGAGGAGGAGGAGGAAGCTTGGACAGTTCTAATGCAGAAAACAGAGAAGAGAGGTGGTAAGCAAAGGCAGACTGAGGATGGAGGAGATGGGCCAGGCTGGTCTGTGATTGCTGAGGGCACTGCTTGCAGAGACTGGACTTGAATTCAGCATCAGTGCCCAGCTTGGTGAGACTCGGGACCACCTGCAGAGACTGGAAAACACAAGCCATGACGCAGTGACCCCAAAACAGGAGAGAGCAGGTCTCCTCCTGAGACTCTTTTAACTCTGAAAATATACCTAGCAAGGTCCTGAGACATCTCCATCAACAGCTGAGAGTGCAATGAGACATGGGACTTCACAAATTGCACACACAATTAATATTTCTGCTGTACCTGGTGTGTTGGACACTATCTTCAGGCACATTAAGGGAATACACTGGTTCCTTGAGAGGGAGGGATAAAGCCCTTTAAACTGGAATCAAGGGGCTTTCTGCAGAGGTGTGTGGAGAGGGAAAGATACCCAGGAAGCATCTGAGCGGAGGAGGTCTGAGCCTCAAGTGGAAGCCATGGAAACTGCATTTCACTTGGCAGCAAGCAGCTGTGGAAGATTCAGCACAGGTTACACAGCTGGAATTGGGAAAGCCCATGGAAGTCCAATTGGTGGATGTGCAGCCTGGACCCTCATTCCACCCTGTGAGGATGGTGGATGTGGGAGTTCTGTCCCATTCGATGTACGCATGAGAGTATACAGCACATCTTTGGTTTATTATTCTCACAACCATTTTTTTTTTCTGTAGTCCTTCAGCATATCCTTCTCTGAATCTTTGTTTCATTATTTGCACATGAGTTTCTACCTCTACTACAAAGTCTTATGAGACAAAGTAAACCAAAGTGGAGTAAATTGCTGGGGCCCTGAGTACATTCCCCCCTCCTTGGGGGAGGATTGACTCTCTAAGGCCAGGGCCAACTCATAGGATGAAGCCATCTGTCATCAGATCTGCTCTGCTCACCTTCCTCAGGCCCTGTGGGAATGAACCCTGGTCAGTGAAGCCCCTGCCTTGCTACAGACCTTCCTGCCTGGCTTCCCACCCCTCTGGAAGCAGCCTTTCCTTGCTGCTCCTAGCATGGAACAGACTCAGTGTTCGAAGGGAGATGGGGGCTGCAGGAATGCAAGTGTATGACCAGGTAACAGAACCTGAACCTTGGAGACATCAGAAGGGACTTGCAGGGCGCAGCTGCTGCTGTGCAGAGGGCAGTATCGAGCTTGTGCTGTGCTCTTCGGGCAGGACCTGCGCTGTGGCACGGGCTGCCGTCCTCCCTCCTGTGGAACACAGTTCACCCCAGCTCGCTCAGTTCTCAGCAAGGTCGCTAAAGACAGCAGTTTCCTGTTGCTCTCAAATATCTTGCTAACCTATGCGCAGGTGTGAGGTGTGAGCTGGTTACACAGAAAAGATTCATCGAACAAGTGATCAAATTGTATTTGCTCAGGAGTCAGAAAGCGGCTTGCACGGCCTGGATCTGGGCCTTTTTGAGTGCAGTCTTGAGATCCAGTAATACATGGCTATGCTTTCACTGTCTCCATGGTCTAAGGTGCTTTCGTAGCAGGGAATGGACCCAAGCTATGTGCATTGAAGATGACTCCAACTTGAAGGCTCCTTTACCACAAACATCTGATGAGGCAGAGAGCTGGGGCAAGGGCAGACAGAACATGGATGCTGACCAGCAGATCTGGAGCCATGTCCCTTATTGTGTCACAACTGGTCTCTGTGGTGGGATTAATCCAAATGCTTGTCACTCCCATTTTCCTTCCCACCCTGGAATCTGGGCCCTAATCCTGACTAGGGGCCACAGCCAGTCAGTAACCTGCAAAGATGAACATCTCACTCTCTCAGCAATCCAAGGGCAGGAGGTGTCTGCATCAGAGTGGTGACAGGGATCGCCTATGCCAGGCCTCAGTTTCATGATTCAGTATTTGAGCCTGGGTGATTATTGTACCATCGACTTCTCCACACCCATTTCCCTCACTTGGAGCAGGGCTGTTCATGCTGTGGAGGGATAATTCTTTGGGGCCACAAGGATGTGCCACAGAAAAAGGCACAAAAGACAAGAAAGAGGAGATTGTGTGATGTCATATCTGGGCCCTGGGGATTCAGATTGTGCCTGTTTAGTGGAGGAAGGCCCATTTTAAGTACAGTGGGCCTATTTTGCCTCACTTAAATGCTCCACACAGGATCCAAGTGTCCAATTCCATGGCTGGGCTGTCATGTCCCACAGAAAACACACACTTCAAAGTGGTGTTCCAGACAACCTCAGGGACAAAGCAGAAGGTGATGGTAGAGAAATCCATGTGTTTACACAGATATCGATGCCACCAGGCAGCCTGGGTAGCTAAGCAGCCAGGGGTGATGCAACCCTGGTCAAAGGGGAAATGCAGGCAGGAACACACAGGGGACTTGAGAAGAGGAATACCCCTAGGTGAGAGCTAGAGGTCTGGAGTGTCACTGTGCCACTGAAACTACAGCTGGAGTGAGCATAGACATGACTCCAGCTTGCATTTCCCAGCTTCCAATCACTTTAAAAATCCTGATACTCTTCTGAAGCAGGCCTTCCGTTTGCCTGCTGCAGGTCTGGTGAGCAGCTCTCTATAGACAGGACAACCCAAATGCCGAGCTGGGGGCAGAAAGTCCTCTATTTTAGCGTGGGGACTCCCACCAGAGGCAGGCGATGTTACTCCGGACACAGAGAGCACAGCGGAGCCGCGGCTCGGGAGCTTTCTCACCGCACGGCTCTCGCCGGCCCTGCAGGTGGAGCGATGCCCACCAGGGCTGCTGGCCGTGCCCGGGGGACGAGTCCGACGCGCGGAGTGCGGGGGAGCGAGCGGTGTCGGGGCCGCGGGGGAGAAGCAAGAGGGGGCATTTCAGGATGCGCGCACCGCCTCCCACCCTGACCCGGGGGCGTCCGCGGGAGGCCCCGCGGTCCTGCCGGCCCCGCGGCGTTCGAGCCCGCCGGTCTCACGGAGACCCCGCTCCGAGCTGACAAGGCTCCAGGGCCGAGAAAGGGCCAGTCCCGACCCTGCCCCGTGGTCGCTCTCCCCGCGCCCTGTTCGGGCGGTCTGCAGACACGGCACGGCACGGCACGGCACGGTGCCTGGCCAGGGCCGGTCCGTCGGGGCGCTGGAGCCCGCCCTTCGCTGCTGTCCCCGGACCGCTCCCCGCGGGCTCGGCCACCAGGAGCTGCTGGGAGGGCCGGCTCGGGTCCGGCGGCGGGAGCCAGGGTGGTGCCGGGCGGAGCGGAGCCGGTTCGCCCCGTCCGCGGGCCCGGGCCCGGAGAGGGCTGTGCGGAGCGGCGCGGCCCCGTCCCGTCCCCACAAAAGCACCCTTGTCCTGGCCCCGTAATTGCTAATCATCAATCACCATTAATAACAGCTGATGAGGCGGGAGGGGGAGGCGCCTTCCCAGGGGCCGGCCGCGCCGGGGGAGCGGGGCGCCTTGCCCCGCCGGAGCGGGCGCTGAAGGAGGAACTCGACCGTGATGTGCAGAAGATGGATGAGAGCAGAGGGCGACACCCCCGCCCGCCTCCCCTCCCCTCCTCCCCCCTCCCCTCGGCGGCCCGGCCCGGCCCCCCCGCGGCGGGGCGGGCGGGCGGCTCCGAGCGCGCCTCCACTCCGCCGCGCCGAGCCAGCGAGCGGGCGGGCGGGCGGCAGCTCTCGCCGGGCGCCGGAGCCCACGGGAGGCGGAGGGCGCGGGCCGGGGCCGGGGCCGCGGCGGCGGGGCCCGGCGGCGGCGGGATCGCGGCGAGTTGGCGGCGGCCCGAGCTCGCCGGAAAGTTGGTGCCGGCTGAGCCGGAGGCGCCCGCTCGCCATGCAGAGACCCGGCGGCCAGGGGACCGCCTTCTCCATCGACTCGCTCATTGGGACGCCGCCGCCGCGCTCCGGGCACCTGCTCTACACCGGCTACCCCATGTTCATGCCGTACCGGCCGCTGGTGCTACCGCAGGCGCTGTCCCACGCCCCGCTGCAGTCGGGGCTGCCGCCGCTGGCCCCGCTCGCTTCCTTCGCCGGCCGCCTCACCAACACCTTCTGCGCCAGCCTGGGTCAGGCCGTGCCCTCCATGGTGGCGCTCACCACCGCCCTGCCCAGTTTCTCCGAGCCCCCCGACGGCTTCTACCCGCCGCAGGAGCTGCCCCCGCCGCGCGCCACCCCCGACGCCGGTTGCCGGCGCGGCGCCGACGGCCTGGAGGCGGAGGAGCTGCCCCCGGGCCGCGACAAGGGGCCGGCCGAGCCGCCGCTGCACTTCCCGGAGCCCTTCCCTGGCCTTGCAGGTAAGAGCGGCGCGGGCCCGTCCTGCCCGGCGCAGAGCACCCGCCCCGCCTCACCCGGACCAGCGCAGCCCCGGGGAGACCTGCCCGGCTCCTCTCCGCCGTCCCAGCGGCACCGGGGGCAGGCGGTCTTGCGTGCCGGAGCTCGGCAGGACAGCAGCCGCGGAGCGGGAGTGCCGGGGCCGGGCGCGGCGGGCAGGACGGCGGCGTAGCCAACGGGTCGTGGCGGCGGGACCTGCCCACGGCCGCACTCCTGGCCCGGCTCGGAGTACCGAGCCGATTCCCCTCCGTCCCGGCCCGGATGGAAGCTTTCCCGGATGGGAGCCAAACTTCGCTTGCCTCGGCCGGGCCGCGGGGCAGGAGGGGCGGGAGAGCGGCCGGTCACGGGGACGCCACGGCGGGACTGGAGCGCCGCGGCCCGGAGCCGCGGCCGGACCGGTCGCACGGAGCTCTCCGAGGTCCTGGCACTCGGCCCGGGGCGAGGGAGGAGGAAGGTGGCGGGGTGTCCCACGGCTCGGTCCGCAGCCCTCCCCAGCCGCACCGATCTTGGTTCTGGTCCCCGTCCCGGTCCCGTTTGGTGCGGCGCGGGGCTGCGCCTTGTCCCCAGCCTGGTGCGGCGGCCCGGGCCGGTCCCTCCGGCTTCGCCGCGCTGCGACCACCGGCTTTGTAAAGTTTCCCCCGAGCCCGCCCCGCAGGGCGACGGCGGAGGAGGTCCCGCGGCGAGGCGGCCGCCGCAGCCCCGCTCTTCTCCGTCCTGCCCGCCGCGCCGCCGTCTCGGCACCGGCTCAGCCCGACGGCGCGGGCAGGCGGCAGCGCCCCTCCCGGGACCCCCGGTGCGGACGGGAACGGCTCTCGTCGGGGTCCTCGCCTTTGTGCGCTGCGACCGTTCCCCGAGTGCGCCAGCAGCAGCCTCGGAGACTTGTTGCTCCGTGTTTCTCAGCCAGGTCCAGCACTCAGCTCTCCCGCTAGGTCCTGCAGCGCGGGGCGTGAGGGGTCCCTGCGGCAAGATACAGACGAGCCAGCTGCTGCTTCTTTGGCATGGCCTCTCTTGAGCTGTCTCTCCTGGCTGCTCCTGGGATCCACCTTTGTCTCACAGGCTTCCTGGCATGGATGCGTGCTGAGAATCTCTGCTGCTTCTTGCAGTGCTTGGCTGTTTGTTCTCCATCCTCTTTTTAGTCTCTCCTGGGTAAGCCCAGGTTTCTTCCTTGCCCTGCCTTGTTCATCCCTCAAAAGAGCATTTCATACACTCGGGTACCCCTTAGACCTCTCACCCCAAGCAGGACAATGGGGGCATTCTGCCTCCCCCTTGCCTTTCTGGGTTATTGGGTGTTCCTCCGGTGCTCCCCAGCCCCTGCGCTAAGTCAAAAGCCCAATGCAATCTTACTTTTTTTGTGAAAGTCTGCTCAATGCCCTAGCCAAAACCAGGTCTATACGACCTCACCGTTCCAGTCTGTGAGCAGATGAACTGCATTGTGCTTGATCTCCCTCTATGGCTCCTCCATAACTGATTCAAATATGTTCTCTCCTCCCAAGGGACTCAGATGAACTGTCCCAAACCGTGACCACTTCTGAATCCAAGAAATCCTACCTCTTAAGACTTTTTCTGTTGCAACTGGATCATATGATCGAAGGGAAGATGTCTTGCTGCTGCTGCTCATCCCCTGTTGCCTCTGAGCACTGGGTTTGCTCTGGAGCCATGAGGGGTGCTTGTCCTTCTGCACAGACACATGCCCATTAGACCCAGTTCTGTGGGCTGCTTTGCCCAGGTCCAGGAGGATTTGTCAGGCCAAATGTGGCTACCTTTACCTACTGCTTCTCCTGGCTGTACCAGACAAAACTGGAGATGGACAGTGGGGTTTGCTTTACAACCATCTTAGAGGAAACTCAGGAGGGTTGTTGTGAGCTTTTTCCAGTACTAAGGAATAGAAATTTGATTCATGTCAACAGGAGCCATCAAAAACTATCTATACTGCAGTTTGCTCTCACATCCAGTCTGTGGCCCTGACCAAAAGTAGTTGTCCAGGGAAAAGCAAGAGAGCACAACCTGTTCAATGGTCAATTCTAAAATGATACTTCCCTCACATCCAACCATCTGCACACCAGGACTTCCTGTACCAAGTGTTGTTTCTGTATATTTAGTAAACTTTGACTAATTTGTTTTCTGTGGCCTCATCTAATCTCCCCTGGAGTCCACCAGAAAGGAGGGATAACCTTGACATCAGCCACATCAAGATGGCAAGATGTTGCACAGATTTTTTTACCTGTAGAAGAACCTTTTGAAGAATAAATGCCCCCTTTGATAATTTTGCTGACATTTAGCGACTTATACCCTGGAGTGGCTGCTGCTGTCCCTAGGCTCTGTTAGTATCTCCATCGTGTAGGTGTCTGTGGACACAGGATCAGTTGCTTCCTGGATCAGCCAAATGAATTAATGCACTATTTTAGGACTTTTCTCTGCATCCACTGGGTTTGAAACTTGCTTCCAGCAACTGCCACCCTTCTTTGAGCAGGAAGAGGCATGTAGAGAAAGTGGTGGTGAGAAGCAGCGAAGCTTGAGGTCTGGTTTATTTCTACAGCTGCCACAAAGGTACGACCCCTGGTGTAAGGGTACTTAACAGCCCTAGCTTTCTACACCTCTCGTGAGAGCCGGGTTGTTCCTGAGCTGTACAGATCTCCTCTGAGATTCAGGCAGTACTCTGAGACTCTTTCCTGGTGTTATGGTTTGACACTGGCACAATGCTAGTGTTTTTATGAAAATGTAATCTTTTGGTGTAGTGACAGTACATTCAGTCAGGGACAGGGTGAAGTTTCTGTTGTTCCCCTTACCAACCCAGGGCTCATCACAACACCCATTCCTGACCAGGTCTTCCTGATGCTTCCCTGATAGCTTTGTTACCTGTGACACTCAAGTCTCTTCGCCATGCTTTCCACATCCACAATCACAGAATGATTTGGGTTGGCAGGGACCTTTAAAGGCCACCTAGTCCAAACTCCCTGCCATGGGCTGGAACCTCTTCAATTACATCAGGTTTCTCAGAGCCCTGTCTGACCAGGCTTTGAGTGTTGCTGGGGATGTGGTATCCACTACTTATCTGGGCAAGCTATGCTAAGAGTGTGTTTCACCACACTCGTTGTGAATAATTCTTTCTTATGCCTCATTTAATTGACCTTCTTTTAGGTAAAATCATCACCCCTTGTTCTATCACAAGAGGCTTTAAAGTCTCTGTCTTTCTTACAAGCCCTCCTTAAGTACTCAAAGGTTTCAATAAGGTTTACATGGAGCCTTCTCTTCTCCACACAGAATACCCCAACTCTCTCAGCCTGGCCTCACAGCAGAGGTGCTCCAGCCCCCAGAACATTTTTGTGATCCCCCTTTGGACTCTCTTCAATGCCTTTGACAAGATCAATGAACAGCTGTGACTTTGTGAAAGACAAACCAGTGGGTCAACCCTGTTCTTCATTTACTGCTTCTTGCTGGTTTTTCAGTCATGATACTTTTCTTCATGACAGCTTCACTTACTGTTCAAAGGCCTTGAAAGTCTCAGTATACTCCAACCACCTCTGCCTTCATTCCTTCCTTGCTGGGGACATAGTAGGTGACTAACAGACCAATATACCAATTTTCTTTGTGAACACATCCAATTTAGATTATGTTATCAAATAGTTCCAAGTTCCTTACTGCAAACCCAGCCCTTTTATAAGACACAAATGTGAGAGTGCTCCATTTAAAATTTGGAGTCTGGTTCAGAAGAGAGTATTCAGAGATAGCAGCTGTTTTGAAAACCATCATATTGCTCAGTCTTCTTCCAATCTCCTGGGCACAGCCTGGGCTGACAGAAGCAAAGTGCCCTCCGAGCACTGTTTGCTGGTGTGGCTGCTGGGATGCCATCCTCCATCCCTGGGGAGCTGTGGTGCCAGGGCAGGACCTAAAGAGCCCTTGGGGAAGACACTGAATTCCTCATAGGAGCTCTCTTATCTTGTCAGGCCCCATGCTCCACCAGAGAGAAGTGGTACACAGAAGTGAAAGCTCTTGTCTTCAGCAAAGTGCTTGGATGAGGTTGTGCAATGGCAGCCAAAGTGCTCCTTGTCACCTGCTGCTGATCCTCAGCCCCACAAGCATGAAATCTCTTTACCCTCTATGCATATGGGAAATCTCTTCCCCTGCCCCTGCCCCTCAGGAAGAAATAAATCACTCTGCAGCAGGATAGAGGTGAAGGTGTTCTTTCCCACTGTAGGAAACAGGAAGAGGAGGGAGAAGATTCCAGATCTCCAAAGCCTGGTCTCGGGAAGCCACAGGATTGCTGCAGGACTGACAAGGGATGTGGGAGCTCCACAGTCACCAGACTACCAGGAATGTCTTCTGGGCTCAAGTAGTCTCCTGCAGTTCTGTTTCTGTATTTAAACCCTGCACTGTCAGGCTTCTGAGGGCTGTTCTGCCTTTCCAACTGAGATGAGGTCAGGAGGCCAGTGATCCAGGGGCCCTGGTTGCATGTGCCAATACCTGAACACTGCTTAGAAATTTGGAGAGCTGCTGCTTCTCCTTGTGCATGTTGGATTATATAGAGCAGCAGTGCTTCAGGACAACACCTTCCAGCAGTGATTACTGCTCTTGGGTCAGACCTGAAGCATTTTCTGGTCTCTTCTAGTCTCAGCATGACAGAAAAACTTCTTCACCTGCTTGTGCATAGCTGTGGGTCCTCCCTTCATGACCCGTCTGTGGCTGAGAGCATGTTCTCAATTTGAGCCCTTCTACTATGGAAATTACTGTCTTCCAAACCTCTTTCCTCTGTCTGTCTCTCACCCTGTCCTCCCTTGCTCCGTGGCCGTTTAATCCTTCAGGCAGCAGTTTGGGACACAAGAAGCTTGCAAGGAAGAGATTCATACCCCAGTACCCCATCAATATCCTCACAGGCATCTTAACAGAGGCGTCTGCCGTGATCCAAGCCCTGCATTCTGCCCGATGGCCTGGGACGAAGTGCTGTCTGTTGTGTGATGTTGACAGGTTCTGTCCTGCCCCTCTGCCCACTGCTGGGCGTAGCTGAGTCCTGAGCATCGGCTGCCTCAGCACCTTGTTCCCGGGCTGCACAGTCTGCTATGGTGCATCCTTCAATTTGGGAGGGAGAGCCAGAAGTGGGCCACCCCATGTCCTGTAGAGCCCCGCAGAGAGGTTTGCTGGGCTGGAGCTGGCTCTGGATGCTGTTTCCAGGACAGTTCTTCAGCTCCTGGCTGGCTACTTTCTAACAGCATCAATGGGCTGGTGCACTGGGAAGAGACAGGGAGGGCTGAGCTGAGACAAGGTACGGGCGTTCTTTCCTACATGGAGATCCAGACAAGCCCTGGAAGCGTTGTGATGTTCTCCGCTAGACCGAGACCCTGATGCTGCTACCTCTGGGCCGTGGGATGGGGACGGGGCAACTGCTGAGGGGGTCGGACCAAGGGTGGCCGCCGGGTCCGTCGGTGCTGCCCCTTGCAGCCGGGCAGGCTGCGGGGAAAAGGGCGCTGGGGTCCGCGAGCGGAGCGGCTGGCGCCGCCCGCAGCAGGAGCCGGTGCAGGGCTGCTGGGGCTGGAGCCGGGGCTGCCGCTTCGCCCGCTCCGGGGCTGCGGGAGCGGGGCGAGCTTCCCTCGCGGCTGCGGGGCTCTGGGAGCGGGGGGAGCCGGGCGCGGGCGGGCGGGGTGCGGGCGGCGGGCCGCGCCGGCCGACACTGACGCTGTGTGCCCCGCAGACGGGAAGGCGTACAGCTCAGACGAGGAGAAGCTGGAGGTGAAGTCGGCGGCGACGCCGTGCAGCGAGCGGGAGGAGGAGAGCTCGGCGGGCGAGAGCGAGGAGGAGCCCTTCCTGGACGGGGCGGCCGCCGGCGCCGCGCTGGGAGCCAAGGGCAAGGGCAAGGGCGGCCCCGCCGCCGAGCAGCCCCCGCCGGGCTCCGCGGCCGGGAAGAGCCGCCGGCGCCGCACGGCCTTCACCAGCGAGCAGCTGCTGGAGCTGGAGAAGGAGTTCCACTGCAAGAAGTACCTGAGCCTGACGGAGCGCTCGCAGATCGCACATGCCCTGAAGCTGAGCGAGGTGCAGGTGAAGATCTGGTTCCAGAACCGCCGCGCCAAGTGGAAACGCATCAAGGCTGGCAATGTCAGTAACCGCTCGGGAGAGCCCGTCCGCAACCCCAAGATCGTGGTGCCCATCCCGGTGCACGTCAATCGTTTCGCCGTGCGCAGCCAGCACCAGCAGATCGAGCAGGGCGCCCGGCCCTGAGCCCGGCCGGGCTCCCGGACCCTGGGGCGGGCGGCGGCGGCGCGGGACGGGCCGAGCGCCCGGTCCCCCTCCTGTGTACATGTCCCTTATTTATTCCGTGTAAACTCTGTACATACGGCAGCGTGTCCTTCTGTCCGTGCCACGGGGAGTGCGGCCGCCTGGCCCTCGGGCCCTGGCCGCCCGCTGGGCCGGGCTGAGCCGGGCCGGGCCGGGCCGGGCCCTCGCTGCCGCCTGCCCATGTATAGCTGTGATTTCAATAAATTATTTTCTATGGAGCAAGACCACGTTCTTCCTCGCTGCAGGAACAGGGGTCCTGCGGCCCCGGCCCGGCGCGGGCAGAGAAGGAGAGCAGGGAAGGGAGAGGGATGAGAACAGGGACAGGGACAAGGACAGGAGCACGGGCAGGGCACGGGCAGCGGGCAGCGGCGCCGACCCCGAGAGGCGGCCGCGGAGGTCGGGGCGGCAAGCGGACGGGAGAAGGGGAGGCTCCGGGGCTCACCCGCCCCTCGGCCGGTGCCGGTACCGGGGCCCGCGGAGCCGGAGGCTGTGCGAGCAGCAGCGGTGGCCTTGCGGGCTCCTTTGCACCCGCTGCTGCACCGTGCCGAGACGCGGGAGAGAGAAGAGGATGGGGCGGGCCGGGAGGCGCCCGGGAGCATCCCCAGGTCGGCCCTCCCGCCGGCGGAGCCGGGGCCAGGACTGGTTCGGGACCGCCTCCGCAGCTCATCCCGGAGTGCGGGGACGTGTGTGCTGCTGCAGGCTCCCAGCACGGCTGCGGCCGCTGCCCTGGCCCGACTCCCTGGCGCTGATACCCTGGGACAGGTGCAACAACAAAAGGGGCTCGCACATCCAGACCAGCCATTCTCTGCTCTTGAGAGCTATCGCACGATATGCTGCTTCCGCAGCCAGCCACCTCAGATACTGAGCCCAGCCCCAAAGCCCCATGAGCCCAGTTTTGCACAGGGCACAGCTGCATGCCCAGTCAAGAGCACAAGCGCCGTGTGGCTACCTGGCTGTCCAGCCTGGGAAAACTGTTCTGGTGTGACAAACATCAGTGAGTCCATGGGGCAAGGGAGCTCCCATGCCTGTGCTGTGGTAGTAACACCCATTGCAATGTCACCAGAGGTTCCTGGACAGGGGGAGGGCTCTCTCCAAGGTTTGGCTGGGGCATCAATTGCTCACAGGTTTGATAGGGAGTTTGGGTCACAAATGGTCCAGCCGGCCACTGTCACCTTCCCTAGGAGACACAGCTTGGGAGAGCAGGAACTACCCCTGACAGCCAGAGCTGACTCCGCCTTCCTGAGCGCCCTCCCTGATGCCACAGCGAGGGCTGGGCCATCTGAATGCTGCCTGGGGGGCAGTGCTCCCTCCGCATGTCCCTTCCCTCTTTGGCAGGTACATTCTGTTCACCTGGAGTGTGGGATCCATGCTCAGAGCTGAGTCCTCCTGCAGTGCCCTGGAGCTTTGGAGCACTGGGGGGTGGCTGTCCCTGCCCCTTGGCTGTTGGCTCCAGTTGGCTTGTGTGGCCAACACAGACACAGCTCAGATCAGAGCAATCATTTGGACAAAGCTGTGCTTCTAGATGTCCTTGGCTCTTTCCACAGAAATATTTGCTGCAGAACTGAGAGGGTTCTGTGGGATCCTTTCAGGATTTGGTTTTTCAGCACAGCTGACTTCCACTGCAGGACACCTGCCTCTGTCCCTGCACCACTGTCCTGAAAAAAAGAAAGTATCCTCAGGAAATGCCTGGCCTGGTGCTGCTCACAGCATCCCCAGCATGGATTTGCCCTGTCCAGGTAGCAACACCTGCTGGCATTCCCTCTGGATCAGGGGAGTAAATGTGCTTTGGCAGCAGCCCCTAGCGCCCTGCTCTCAGGAAAACTGTCTGCTCCCTTTTCAGCAGGCTGGGGTAGAGCTGCCTGAGCCTGCACCACTTCTCTGTCCTCAGGTGGGTGTTGGTCTGAGACAGCTCTGACCTCAGAGTGCTCCATGGCTGCAAAGGGGATGCAGCTGTTTGCAGCAACTGCAGTGGCTCTGGCACAAGAGCTGGTGCTCATCTCTGTGTGGGAGGGCATGGCAAAGCCATTCTGCAGCTACATGCAGGGCTCTGCCACTACAAATGTGTCCACATGAGGGGTCTGTGCCACTGCAGCCGATCACAGCACAGCAGTGCACGTTAACCACAACACTCCAGAAAGTGTCCACAGCTCCAGGGTTGGGGCAGTGACATTAAAAAGAGTCAAATTTTATTTTAAGGTCCAAGAACTCCCTTAGTCTCACTGGGCATTTGTAACTCTGGCTTGATATGTCCTGCCCTAATGGCAGCATGGGTTTATTGTGTCTTTAACCCATGTCCCCCACCATAGAGGCCACTGCCCACCCGAAATCCATGTGCAGAGCATCCCCGCTCCACTGCATCCTCATCCATGGGCTGCCACTGAGGTGGTTCCAACACCTACAGTTTTTAGCTGCCTGGAGAGTTTTGTTGTTGTTGTTGTTGTTGTATTAGACCAACGCCAGAGCCCATACACACTGCAACCCTACTAACAGCCATGCTGAAATCCCCACAAATGCTGCAGAGGTGCAGCCCTGTATAGAGCTGCTGGAGGTGACAGACTCATGCTGTCACCAGCGCTGCTGGAGAGAGCTGCAGAGCAGCAGAGTGTTCCTGGCACGGAGCAGAGCAGAGCAGAGCAGAGCTCCCTGTGAACCCTGAGCATTGTGATGGCTCTGGTGCCTTCTGCACAGCGGAGAGCAAAGCCCACACTGCACTGCCCATGCTGCACAGAGAGCACGGTGAGCACAGTGCCCTGCACTGCCCAGAGTGAGCACAGTGAGCACGGTGCCCTGCACTGCCCTGCACTGCCCACGGTGCCCTGCACTGCCCACAGTGCACAGTGAGCACGGTGCCCTGCACTGCCCTGCACTGCCCACGGTGCACAGAGAGCATGGTGCCCTGCATTGCCCACGGTGCCCTGCACTGCCCACAGTGCACAGTGAGCACGGTGCCCTGCACTGCCCACAGAGAGCACAGTGAGCACGGTGCCCTGCACTGCCCACAGTGCACAGAGAGCACGGTGCCCTGCACTGCCCATGCTGCTCTAGGCAGCTGTGGCCCCTCTGCATCTGGGAGAGCTGTGGGGACCCCATGAGCTGGAGCTCTGGGTGCTGGGTCAGACTGGGGTTAGTGGGAGGAGGGCCACAATGACAAACTGGGCAGTGAAGACAGACCCAGGGCAACTGAGCCACGAGGCTGGATGGGGCCTTGGGAGGTCTCTGCTCCAGCACCTGCTTGAAGCTTGTCCCATTCAAGATGCTGAAGAACTTGCCCATCTGACTTCCAGTATCTCCAAGGGTGGGCAAACCCTCCTCTTCGGTGCCCAACCACCTCCCTAGCATGTTTTTTCACTTGCATCTCTTTGGAATTTCCCATCTACCAGCTTCTGGCTGCTACCCTGTGTCCTGGTGTAGGAGCTGCTGGGGAAGGAATCTCCACACAAGCACTGGTACACACATACATGCACGGGTACACACACATGTACATACAAAGAGTAAAAGGCAGATACAGGTGCAGACACACACAGAGATAAATAGATAAGAGTTAGAGTGTGCTTATACATGGACACGTGTTTGTTTATATCAACACGTTTATACTCACATATATATACACATACACATTCATAGAACAAGACTTACTTTGCCCTAAGGAAGACAATTTCAGAATTTACAATGGAATTCTCCCTACCCAAATCTCTCCACTTGTTTACCTGTATGGTGGTTCTTAAAGAACAGGAAAAGGGTCAGGGATTGCATCCCACAGCGTTTATTCACTCAGCACAACAAAGCTGGTCCTCAGCATTCCCTGACAAGGGGCTTGTAAGAAGATGTGATGGCCCACAGTATGGTGCTGGTACTATTCATTATTCACTAGCCAGCGGCTCCAGGACTAGCTCAAGGTGCAGGAGAGAAGCAATGGGCAACAGAGAAACAACGTCCCAATGGCTGGTACCTGAGAAAGGTTGTGACCCTCCCCAGCTACTTTGCAGCTGTGCCAGCTTGTCCAGTGTCCCCACCAGCCAGGCTGGAGCTCCACTCAGGGCTTTGTGACTCCTTGTCCCGTGGGTGTCTGCACCCACCCACAGGGCTGATTCCCGTGGGTGGGCACAGGGTGCAGGTGTTGTAGTGGAGTGTGTGGGTGCTGTACCTGAATGAGCACAGGCCCAGGGTGCTGGGCACTGTCACACCTGTGCCTTTTCCCCCAGAGGCAAGGCTGGCTGAACATGTGAAGGGGCAGCCCTCTGGCAGGATCTCTGCTCTGGCTACCTCTGCATGCGCTCAGCATGATCCCAGCAGCCTCAGGGTGGATGGTGCTGACCCCTGCCCACGTGTGCCCACCCACAGATCTCCAGGAAGCTATGCCTGCTCAGCTGGGGCTGCAAGAAGTCCTGTGGGGCTTCAATTGCAAGTTGTACCCTGTGGGTTTTTTCCTGGCTGTGCCCAGGCTCTCTGGGAAGTGCTTCAAACCTGTGCTATGGCTGGTTTCTTGCCAGAGGCCGCATACCATAGATTTACTCATGGCACGAGGCTGCATCCCACGGCTTCTGCCCTGTGGCACCCACCTCCCCCCGGCTCCAGCCTCAGCTCAATGATGTGAGTGCTGCTGGCTGCCTGGGGCAGGGTCCTCATGGTGCTGCAGTGGTCGCTGCTGCTGCTCGGGGCCACGTAACTCAGAGACAGCCCCAGTGTGCTGCTGCCCTGGTGCTCTGGTGCACAGCAGAGCAGAGGGTTGGCCTGTGCCCTCCCTGGCTGGCATCAGCCTGAATACAGACACCTGACTCCTGCCCCGAAACAGACACAGTGCCCTTAATCACAGACACACAGCTCCTGCCCCTAACATGAACACACAGCTCCTGCCCCTGAGCACAGACACAGTTCCTAAACACACCCCTAAACATGGACACGCACCTCTTCCCCTGCACACGGACATGGGGCTCCTGCTGCAT